GGTTTCTCAGATCACACCATTGGTTGGTTCTCTAACTATCTTTCAGACCGGAGGCAATGTGTTCAACATAATGGTACTTCCTCCAGTTATTTAACAGTCAACAATGGTGTACCACAAGGCTCAGTCTTAGGACCCACCCTCTTTACAATCTACATACATAATGTAGGTAAAAACATCCCTAATGCATCCATACATTTCTATGCTGACGACACAGTTGTTTATTGTCGAGCTAAAACTGTTGCTAAGGCTTTCCAGCTTTTGAAATCTGCATTCAACATCATCCAGACTGATTTGTTCCGCCTCAAACTTGTCCTAAATGCCGAAAAAACCAAAGGGATGCTTTTTTCAAATAGGAAGTTGGTCCCAGCAGTTCTTCCTCCGATTTTATCCTCAAATGGTGTCCCCATTGAGTTTGTTGATTCCTATAAATATTTGGGTATCTTGGTCGACTCACATCTTTCTTTTAAGCTCCATGTGGAAAACTTGGTAAAGAAACTGAAAGTTAAACTGGGTTTCTTTTTCAGAAACAGATCCTGTCTAACCCTGAATGTTAGGAAACGCCTTGTATCTGTGACTTTCCTTCCCTCAATTGATTTTGGTGATATTATTTACATGAACGCTCCTACAAGAACCCTGCAGATGTTGGATGCTGTCTATCATGGTGCACTAAGATTCATAACTGGCTGTGATTATCGTACCCACCACTGCACTCTGTATTCACTGGTTAACTGGACATCATTAACTTCACGCAGACTCTCTCACTGGTACATTTTCATCTTTAAATCACTTCTTGGTCTGCTGCCTTCATACATCTCCTCCTACATGTCTCTGCGTGAGTGCAGCTACAGCGTGCGCTCTCAGGACATTATTACCTGCAGTGTTCCCTCAGTGAGGACTGAACTAGGCAAAAGGGCCTTCTCCTACTCCGCTCCTGTCTCCTGGAATATCTTACAAAAAGATTTGAAGCTCTCGACCTTGACCTCTCTAAGTGGCTTTAAGAATCTGTTGGACTCCTGGCAGGGACCAATGCAGACATGTTCCTGTTTTTAGTTTTATACATTTGTCTTGGAATCTAGCTGTTTTTTTTTTTTTTTTTTTTTTTTTTTTTTTTTTCTTTTTTCTTTTTTTTTTTTTTTTTTTTTTTTTTTTTAAAAAAAAAAAAAAAACATCATATACATTCTAGTATGAGTTTTTATAACTGCTTATTGTTGTTGCTGTTGTCCATTGTTGTCATCTTTCTTTGTTAAATCAGGTCTCTCTTATAAATGAGTCCTCGAGGCTCAATGGGATTTACCTGTAGAAATAAAGGTTGATTGATAATAACAAAATATGATGATTTGACAAGTTAACTGCTACGTGATGGTGTGATATGGCTCATTAAAAAGAAGTGTATGGTGCTCTCACTGCGAATAGATGCAGACGTCAGTTTGCGCTACGAGTATGGTGATCAGTGCTACGCGTATGGCGGTCTGAAGATGTATGCTAGCTAAACAGAACACGGCAGTAGTCGCATTTTTTTGTTTGTTTTTTTTGCCGGCCGGTGAGTCTGTCACTCATTCCTACTGTATCTAACATTCGACTGGGATGCTTGTTATGACATAAAATTCATATCCCGGCAATATATAACGGTATGAGAAGCTACACGAAGCTACATGCTAACAACGGCCAGCTAGCTTCTCTCGAAGAAAACAGACTTTCACCATTTATACAGTTTTCAACTCAACAAAACGTAACAGTAAATATCGCTTTTTACTTACTTCCACAGATAAATTTTAGCTTGAGGAGATGATGCCCAGCCTGGCTCCGACGCTGCGGTGGAGGACTCGGGTAGACCGGCGGAGCTCCATCTAGCTCGCTCTGAATTTTGTCGTCGGCCAGCAAGCGCAAAAAAAACGCCAGCACTTCAGCATTAGACCACGCTGTTGTCATTATTGTTTTTAAATCTTTAAAATAGGTCCAGCCGCTACTCCGGTCCCAGAAATTGTAAATGGCGGATCTGTGTTTTGAAAAATTTCTGAAAGATCCAGTGACTCCTCCCCCTGACCAATTAGTGACCGACAGTGCGCTGACATCACATCTGGACCCAACAAGAACCAGACCTGGGACCCCAGAGAAGTAGGTCCCAAAAATCGTGCGGGTTCCACCCGCTGAAGGCACCGTGGAGACACTACGCAATCAGCCCGAACTAGTTACATAGGAGCACCAAAAGGCCCTGTGGATAAGGGGCTTTGGAGGACCACTAACGGGAGCTAGTCTCTGTGGTTCTGCGCGGTCTAAGGGGACCTGGCTAGCTACTGGTTTTTCTACAGCACGGAGCCGAGCTTCCAGTTCAGACAGCCTCCCCTCCAAAGCTACCATAAGACTACATTTGTTACATGTACCGTTACCACTAAAGGAGGCAGAGGAGTAACTAAACATCTGACACATGGAGCAAGAGAAAACAGGAAGCAGGGAGAGAAGCAGCAACCATGCTAAGCTAATGCTAGCAAGAGCTAGCAGAGCCAAATACACCAATAAAACTGAGGAGTGTTGAAAGATAAGAGGTGTTTTAAGCACTATCCAACAGTAGAAAAACAACTGTACTAAGTGTGTTTGTGAACTAGAATGAAAAACTGCAAAAGACAGATAAATCCAGAAAACTGAGACGACTCGAGCAAACAATTCACTCGAGCTACCGACAGACAAACAGGAAGTGACACAATACGTCTCACCACCTATCTATCTATCTATCTATCTATCTATCTATCTATCTATCTATCTATCCATCTATCCATCTATCCATCTATCCATCTATCCATCCATCCATCCATCCATCCATCCATCCATCCATCCATCCATCCATCCATCTAGCTATCAATCCATCCATAGTCCATCCATCCATCAAACCAACCATTATCCATCCATCCATCCATCCAACCATCATCCATCCATCCATCCATCATCCATCAATCCAACATTTGTTCATCCATCCTTCCATCCATCATCCATTTATCCAACCATCATCCATCCATCAACCATTGTCCATTCATCCATCCAACTATCATCCATCAATCATCCATCATCTATACATCCAACCATTGGTCATCAATTCATTCATCATCCATCAATCCAACCATCATCCATCCATCATCATCATCCATCCATCCAACCAACCATCATCCATCCAATTATCATCATTCATCTAACCATCCATCCATCCAACCATCATCCATCATCATCCATCCATTATCCAACCATCCATCCATCATCCAACCATCATCCATCATCCAAACATCATCCATCAACTATCCAACAACCATCCATCAACAATCCAACCACCATCCAATCATTATCTATCCATCAATTATCTTTACCCCCTTCTTCCTTCTTGAGTTGCAGGGGTCACTGGAGTCCATATCCAGCAGTCACTGTGTGAGAGGTGAGGGATACCCTGGACAGGTCTCCAGTCCATCACAGAGACACCCTGGACAGGTCTCCAGTCCATCACAGAGACACCCTGGACAGGTCTCCAGTCCATCACAGAGACACCCTGAACAGTTCTCCAGTCCATCACAGGGACAGCCTGGATAGGACTCCAGTCCATCACAGGGACAGCCTGGACAGGTCTCCAGTCCATCAAAGAGACACCCTGGGACAGGTCTGCAGTTCATCACAGAAACATCCTGGACAGGTCTCCAGTCCATAACATGGATAACCTGGACAGGTCTCCAGTCTAAAACAGGGACACCTGGACAGGTGTCCATTGCATCACAGGGACACCAGGACAGATCTCCCATCCATCACACGGACAACAGGACAGGTCACCAGTCCATCACAGGGAAACCTGTACAGTTATCCAGTCCATCACAGAGACACCCTGGTTAGGTCTCAGTCATCACAAGGACACCTGGACAGGTCTCCAGTCCATCACAGGGACAACCTGGACCGGTCTCCAGTCCAAAACAGGGACACCTGTACAGGTGTCCATTCCATCACATGGACACCAGGACAGATCTCCAGTCCATCACAGGGACACCAGGACAGGTCTCCAGTTTATCACACGGACACCTGGACAGGTCTCCAGTCCATCACAGGGACACCTGGACAGGTCTCCAGTCCATCACAGGGAAACCTGTACGGTTCTCCAGTCCATCACAGAGACACCCTGGACAGGTCTCAGTCCATCACAAGGACACCTGGACAGGTCTCAGTCCATCACTGGGACACCTAGAAACAATTTACAGTTACCAATCAGTCTAACAGGCATATTTTTGGTCTGTGGGAGGAAACCGGAGTACCTGGAGAAAACCCATGCAGTACGGAGAGAACATACAAACTCCACCCACACAGATCGCGGGCTGGGATTTGATTCAATGACCTGCTTGCTGAGAGGTGACAGCTCAACCAACTAAGACACTGTGCCATTTCTTTAAATAATACTGCAAACAAATATAAAGTCTCTTTTATTTTGAAGGTCAGTGGGCGTTTCAGAAAAAGCCCAAATGTGCTTCACTCACCTGAGTAAGTTTGGCTCCGCCCAAGTTGCTGAGGTCTGCATCATCCTGAAACACCTTTGTAATGTCCAGAGTCTGAAGAATGTCTTTTAGAGAGTAAGAGTGCTCCAGTAGGAAGCGAGGGAGCTGCACCTCCAACTTCCTGTTTACAAAATAAAAGAACAGCCTGTCAGTACCAAATCAAAAGCAGAAAACAGAAGGACATGCAGGAAGTCCAGGGAGAAAATGAGGAGATTATGGAGGAATGACATAAAAGAAGGAGGTGAAGATCAATGTCCTCACGTTTTCTTCAACTTCAGGATCCAGGTCTTGATCTTCTGTGATGTAATTTCCTCCTCCACAGTCGTCAGGTCTACACCTTCATCGGGTAGCACCACCAACATGGCTGCTCCGTCCGCCATCGGCAGCTTCAGCACGCCAGCCTTTACCAAGACGTCGTATGCCAGGAAATACTTATCGGCCCGGAACATCATGGGAACCATGACCACGTGGTACCGGTCCACATAGAACCGCTCATCCTGAGTGGATGAGGAGTCAAAGGGCGGGTCGAACTGGGCTGGGACACACCAAATAAAAACTTTATTTACAAACACAAACCTGATCTGGTCTCAGGGGAATATGAGTTTTTTTAGTGACTCCACCCCTTCAGGTGTCCTCACAGAATGTTGGTGGGACTTACGTTGGTATCTGGTGGCAGTGGCAACTAGCAGCTGGGTTTGGAAGTCCATGGTAGACAGCAGCTCCTGGAAGCCATCTCCGATCTGCTCCTGGACCCAGCGATTGATGGCGTCCAGGGCCTCAGGGGGCTCGGTGTAGGACACACTCTGGACCAGACCGCCAAGCTTTGTTTGGACCAGAGTCTGGTAGGAGTCAGAGACCTGGACACTCTGAGAGGGGAACACTGCCATGCCATGCCGCAGGTTCAGGGGTGCATCTCTTTGAAGAACCAGGTTCCTCAGAGTCTGGAACTGATCTGGGACCAGAAGAAAAGCAGATTAAACCTAAAGTCCAGTCCCAAGACCCTGGTCATCTGGTCCCCTACAACACAAAGGTGTTTGTTTCATGGTTTGATTTTAGTGGCCCACTGGTCAGAGACTGATATCTGTCAGAACCAGGACCCCGTGGTCCACTGGTCAGGGACAGACTTGCTCTTCCTTCCATCCATGATATGAGGATGTTGTTCTCAGACGGCCATTACTTCAGACCAACTTAGTTTTTATATTTTTCTTTTATTTCACTTTTCCTCTCTGACATTTAGACCCACAACCTTGAACCTGGACTTACTGACATCTGACCTCTGGACCTCCACCTCCTGACCTCCACCTCCTGACTTCTAAACTCCACGTCCTGACTTTTGAAATTCACCTCCTGACCTCTAACCTCCAAACCTCAACCTCCTGACTTCTAAACTCTGAATCCTGACCACTGACCTCCACCTCTCTACCCCTGATTTCCATCTCATGACCTCCAAACCTCCACCTCCTGACTTCTAAACTCCCTGTCCTGACCTCTGACCTCCACCTCCTGACCCCAATCTCCTGATCTCTGACCACCATCTGCTTACCTCCACCTCCTGACCTCTGACCTCCTGACCTCTTACCTCCATCTCCTGACTTTTGACCTCCACCTCATGACCTCTGACTAGAGTTGCATTCAGGTCCAAAAAATCTGACCCGACCCGGCCCCAGCCCGTAGCCATCATTTCCAAACCCCACGCGATCTGATGAATTAACAGTAATTACAGGTCCGAACTTGACCCCCCCACCCCCCAATATTTTTAATTAAGCTTTGACTGCTTATATATTTAGTAACTGTCAGCGGACGCTTGCGGCTGAGGGGGTGTTTGTCCTTTCATGGCCGTCAAAGCACATTAAATGCCTCCCCTGTTTCTGCCTGCATTCTGCATTATTCAGACACGACCCCTGCTCTGATATGTTGGATATTTTGTGATCTCACCTGTTTGGGTCGTCAGCCGCACGTGTCCGCTGAGTGCAGCGACTGAATGAACGGCCATTTGGACGATGGGTCGCTGGCAGTAATCCATCTGAAGCTTAACTGAACTTTTTACCTCTTTCAAGACTGGTCAGCGGGCGGTCAAATGGTCGTGTGTGGCTGGTGATTGTATGGCAAGCCATGTTGTCATATAATTGGATCATCCGCTGACACAATCAAATGCCCGACACCAACCCAGCCCGCACATTAAGCACATGATTATGGACCGGCCCGGCCTTAATCCGGGTTGGGCGGGGCCGGGCTCCGGGTTAGAAATTACAGCTCTACCTCTGACCTCCACCTCCTGACCTTTGACCTCCACTTCCTGCCCTCTGACCTCCATCTCCTGACCTCTGACCCCCTGCCCTCCACATCCTAACATCTATCTCCTGACCTTTGACCTCCACCTCCCAATCTCTGAACTCTACCTTCTAACCGCTGACCTCCATCTCCTGACCTTTGACATCCACCTACTGACATCTGACCTCCATTTCCTAAGCTCTGATCTCATCTCCTAACCTTTGACCTCCACCTTCTTACCTCTACCTTCTAAACTCTGACCTCCATCTCATGACCTTTGACCTCCACCTTCTGACCTCCACTTCTACATCCTAACCTCTATATTCTGACATTTGACCTCCATCTCCTGACCTCCACATCTTAACCTCCATCTCCTGACTTACCTGGTAGTGTCTGTGGATTCAGTCCATTCAGGAAGAGTCCCTGGAGCAGCTGGTCTCTGGTCGGACCGTTGGCGGCACTAAGAAGTGCCAACATTCCAGCCGAGAGACAGAAGGGAGAGAGGACGACGTTATCGTCGGATCGGCTGGCCACAGCTCGGTACAGATGAGCGTCAAAGTCCATGTTCCTGTTGATCAGGTCCTCCATGGCGGGCTCAGTGGTTTCTGCCAGACTCAGCAGGAGGACCAGGAGGAGGCTGAGCAGGAGGTGGTTCAAGGGTGTCATGGTGTCCTCTGCTGGAGCAGAACCCAACAGAACACACGTTAAAACAGCTTGCTTCTGTTTCCACAGAGATCCAAACGGGCTCAAAGAGAACCTCCTTCAGAAACAACAACGTGAGACCGAAACCAGACCCTGTAGTCCAACTTTCTGATCCTGATGGGACATAAACCCAACCCACAGCTCAGACTGACCTCGGGACGTTGGTCTAACAAACATGTTGTTTATTTGTCATTTGCATGTCAACACAACATCAACAATATGGTATGGTATGAAATATGAAACGTTCAGGAGGAGAAGAACCAACTGGACTCGCTAAAAACAAACAAGAAATATTAAAGCGTGCAGTAAGGGTACAAAATGAAGCAGGGGTTCTCAGACTTTTTGGATTCAGAGACCTCTTACAGGGGAGAAAAAGTTTAAGGACCCCCTCACAACCCTCATGCTTATTAAATATTTTCCCTCAATTTGTCTCTTTTAATGTAATGGAAATGTTTATGTAACATAAATACTTAAGACCTGTTCTTTAATAGTGTTAACACAATTTTTATACTTTTAAACATGGAGTATTTTTCATTCAAGACGCACTTAATTAACAACATTTTTAATTTCAACTTCCAAAAATTACAGTTTAGAGAGAATTAACAGTATCAATTCAATTCAAAATACTTTATTACTGGTAATTCCAAAGATAAATTTAATGTTGTTGTAACTCGTTATCCTCGTTTCATTAAGAGATGTTATAGATGCTGATGGCTGTAGGCAGGAAGGATCTCTTGTAAAGGTCCGTCCCACAGCAGATCTGAAGAAACTGGCTGCAGATGCATCTGATCCGTCCACCCAGACTCGGTTGTCCTCTCGGTTCCTCCGGGCTGCAGGACCTCCTGAATGCTGGACAGAACTCCTCCCAGAGCGACGGTCTCTCCTCCGAGAAGCCTGCTGAGCTCCTCATCACTGCAAACAGCCGGATGCAGGTGCTGGGGGATGATCCTGGTCCTTCTGCTGTCACGAGCCATGTTTCCTGCCCATTCCAGGATCTCAAGAGGTCAGGCACTTAAGCACAACCAGCAGGTAGATGGGAATGCATCCACAGAGCCTTTTTTCCAACTTATTGGAGATTTGGGGCTGTAGTTGAGATATTATTTGAGCTTTTGAGATGTTAATCAGCAGCTCCTGGTTGTAAAAACCACCTTGTTGCCATGGATACACATCATCACAAATGTCCAAAACTAAAAACCGGGCTTCCGGTTCCAGCTTGCTTCGGAGAGGTTGCTTATAAATACGCTCTGCTCTACTTGGGGAGAAATTAACAACTTTAAACACTTTATACAATTCACACTTACTGTAAACTGTTTTTTGCTGCTCTTTAGACTGTTTGCTAGTTTCGTATGCTGTCACTTGTTGGGTTTACGCTTTATTTTAGGTGTTTTCTTTGAGCTACGTGATCCAATGGTGCTGTGCTAACTGCTAAGTGGATTCAACTCACACAAAGGTAAGATCATCAATCAGGAGAGTCACCCTTGTTTTAAACGGTGTTTCTGTTTCTTGACTTTGTTGTAGTGCTTCCTTGCTGGTTCTGGTTTTGTGCTTGAATTCTTTTAGATGTTTCGAGTTATGTGAATCGCGGCTGCGAGGTTCTGCAGTGGTGTGCTAAGCTAATCAGATTAGTTCAGATCGACTTGAACTCGCATTAAGCTGAGATCAGACGAGTGGTTTTAAAGAGTGTTTTATTAATAACATTTTTTCTCTCGTTTAGCATCTGCTGCACATTTGTGCAGCCCACACTGCAGGATAAGCTTCCTCTTGCAGCTAAACAACTGTTCTCCGTGCAGAGCAGAGAAGTGGGTGAGGTCAAGATTGCTTGAAGGTGGCTGAGAGCAACAGAGGCAGATACTGGGAAATCATGACATTCTGTGCTCTTTTAGAACGTTTAGATTTTAGAAACATTGTTTAGAATATTGTACCACGCAATTTATACACTGGAGTGTCTTGTTTATGTATTTTTTTCATAATTTTCACAATTTTAATACTTGTATTTTACTTTGAAAGACTTCCTGCCATCTCTTGGTAACATGCTGCTGCTGACTAATTTTTTTTTTTGGACAGAGCTGCCCCTCATGGGAGCAGGCGTTAGTGACACAGAGAGAAGGCCCTCAGGTAATCAGATGTACGACTCTTGCTCACGGTTTCAAATATCCAACCATAACTCCACCCACTCCATCATCATGTGACCAGAAGTTTAACCTAAATAACCAACAAGGTACTACCGAAGACCAACCTCCAAGATAAACGTGCATTAATTTCTTTAGATTGTTCCCATGTTAATGGATTTTGCACTTCATGCACAGACCTACCATACCACAGCATTTTATTTATAGAGCACTTCAAACAGCAACAAGGCCAACCAAAGTGCTGTACAGACAGAAAACAGGCAACACACAAAGCAAAATACAAAATGGAATAAAATCAGAATATAGACACAAAATCATTGCAGATAATTCATTCAACCTTTATTTCTACAGGTAAATCCCATTGAGCCTCGAGGACTCATTTACAAGAGAGACCTGATTTAACAAAGAAAGATGACAACAATGGACAACAGCAACAACAATAAACAATTATAAAAAGTCATACAGATTATTATTATTTTTTTTACAAATAGGATTGCTATAAAAAAGAAGAGTAAAAAGAAAAGAAAAGTAACAAAAAACAACTAGATTCTAAGGCGACTGTAGAAAACTAAAAACAGGAACATGTCTGCATTGGACCCTGCCAGGAGTCCAACAGATTCTTGAAGACACTTAGAGAGGTCAAAGGTCGAGAGCTTCAGATGTTTTTACAAGATATTCCAGGAAACAGGAGCGGAGTAGGAGAAGGTCCTTTTGTCTAGTTCAGTCCTCACTGAGGGAACACTGCAGGTAATGATGTCCTGAGAGCGCACGCTGTAGCTGCACTCACACAGAGACATGTAGGAGGAGATGTATGAAGGCAGCAGACCAAGAAGTGATTTAAAGATGAAAATGTAAAAACCGGATTACAAAATTTGGGACACTAAAAAAATTGTGAATAAAAACTGAATGCAATGATGTGGAGATGGCAAATGTCAATATTTTATTCGTAATATAACATAGATGACAGATCAAAAGTTTAATCTGAGTAAATGTAACATGTTAAAGGAAAAATATGTTGATTCAAAATTTCACAGTGTCAACAAATCCCAAAAAAGTTGGGACAAGTAGCAATAAGTGGCTGGAAAAAGGAAATTGAGCATATAACGAACAGCTGGAAGACCAATTAACACTAATTAGGTCAACTGACAACATGATTGGGTATAAAAAGAGCTTCTCAGAGTGTCAGTGTCTCTCAGAAGCCAAGATGGTAAGAGGATCATCAATTCCACCATTGTTGCACAGAAAGATAGTGCAACAATACCAGAATGGTGTTACCCAGCGTAAAATAGCAAAGACTTTTAAGTTATCATCATCAACCGTGCATAACATCATCAAAAGATTCAGAGAATCTGGAACAATCACTGTGCGTAAGGGTCAAGGCCGTAAAACTCTACTGGAGCTCGTGATCTTTGGGCCCTTAAACGTCACTGCACCTCAAACAGGAATGCCACTGTCAAGGAAATAACAGAATGGGCTCAGGAATACTTCCAGAAAGCATTGTCAGTGAACACAATCCACCGTGCCATCCGCCGTTGCCAGCTGAAACTCTACAGTGCAAAGAGGAAGCCATTTCTAAGCAAGCTCCACAAGCTCAGACATTTGCACTGGGCCAGGGGTCATTTAAAATGGAGTGTGGCAAAATGGAAGACTGTTCTGTGGTCAGATGAGTCACGATTTGAAGTTCTTTATGGAACACTGGGACGCCATGTCATCCGGACCAGAGAGGACAAGGATAGCCCAAGTTGTTATCAACGCTCCGTTCAGAAGCCTGCATCACTGATGGTATGGGGTTGCATGAGCGCTTGTGGCATGGGCAGCTTGCATGTCTGGAAAGGCACCATTAATGCAGAGAACTATGTTCAGGTTCTAGAACAACATATGCTCCCATCTAGA